CCCCAAAACCCCAAAACCCCAAAACCCCAAAACCCCAAAACCCCATCATCCAGAATAGTGATAATGATTATGATTAATTCAAATCAGGAATGTATTAGTCAGATATAATTAAATTAAAGATAATGTCACAGTAGGAAATAAACTAACTACAGAACTAATTAGGAGAGTACTATAAGTATGCTAACAAACTGCATTACGAAATAGATGCCTAAATCAATGAGATATACAATGGCAAGGAGTAGTCTAAAGATGTTAATATAGTCATTGATTGCATCAGAAGTAGAATAGGCGACCTAGAGACTATGATGAGACAAATAGAAGAAAATTTGGCTTCATATCATAATCTGATTAGGGGAAATGAGTCTATGAACAATAGCTATTTAGTCTGGAGGACTAAGATTGATAGATTAAAGAATAGTGTGATGTCTCATTCAATTAATATTGACAAGGCCTTTAGAAATTACAAGAAGACTCAAGCAACCGCAAAAAGATCATCTCAAAATAATGTGGAAAGAAGAAGGATCATGGAATATTAGAATGAGCATGAAAGCCTTGATAGATCTTAAGGAATAGCTTATGAAATAGAAAGACAGGGAATGGGCATAATCGAAAATCTACAGAAATAGCAAGAAATCCTAAAGAAGGTCAAACTAAGAGCATTATAAATGCTAAACACAATAGGAATGAGCGAGTCTATCTTAAAATTAATTGAAAAGAGAAGTAGGACTGATATGCTCATATTTTTTGGACTTGCTATTTTTACTATCATTCTGATAGTAATCCTATTCTACTATGTGAAGCCAATGCTATTTGGATCTGCAGTATAGACTGTAGCTTAGCTTTAGGACACAGATTATCCTATAATGTGACTCAATCCTGTATATAATAAGGAGATAATGTTAAAATTATAGATTTAAATATATTTCTAATAATTAACCATAATTAAGAGCAAAAGCAATTATCATAATATGATTTAAAATTTAACCCATATCCACTTATTTTCACATTCACTATTTCAAACCTAATTAATTAATCATTATTTGGCAGGAGTATTTACTTAATCAGCAATCTTCTAAAGTATTTCATTTTACAGGAATAGTACATCAACCATAGAAACCCTTTCATTTTGCTAGCGTTCAACTGGCAAAAGCAGATTAAGCCAGGCATGATTTTAAACTAGATTAATGTCAGGATCATCTGTGATTTCCACTTCTAAGAAACTCTTCAAATTATACTCTTCAAGAATTTAAGAGCCCAACAATTTCACATCTATGATATTTGATTCCTGCTAATGATTGGTCTTTAGAAATAAATCAGCGCTTATGAAGATGCAGGCTGCAGCAATACATGGAGCTGGGAAATATAAGCAAAATGGATGAATATAGCTGTCATAGATAAACTTCTTTGCTAGTTCAATAAAGAATTTATAGTGTACTTCGAACATCTTCCTTTTTGCTTCGTCTGGATTTAGCATGACTTTATCAAACAATATCTTTCTATGCTGATAATAAAAGATGTTTAGATATTCATATGGAGAATCAATATCAAAGTCAAACTCAATTGTTATTAAGACCTTAAACTCTAGATCTATGAAATTCTCTTTTAGGCTTTCCTTGATTTCATCAAATGGCTTAACTCTACCTCTACCTTGCTTTCTGTTGTGATAGTAGTACTCAATGAAGTCAAAGTATTAGAATTTAAAATAGTCAATCTTGCAAGCCAAAAACAAGCAGAGAGTGGAAAGCATGTAGCGGTCAAATTCAGTGAAAGGATGCCTCTTCTGGTAATAGTGAAAAATAGTCAACGCAATACCGCACACATGCATCTTAACCTTGAAGTGATGAGCAATATTCTGAATAAACACAATGCATTCGGATATCATTAGCAACTCTTGCTGCTCCGTCAAGCCAGCTTTGATATTTACTGATTTTAGGTAATCTTCACGAAGAAGTAATCTCATTAATAGTTAATTTATTATTTTAATTGCTCTAAGCATTGATTAAAGTTTTATATAATATGTTGATTTAAGATAATAAGATTAATTCGATCTAAATTAACTGCGATATATAGTTAGTTAACTTTATTATCATGGAAACATTGTAAATACCTCAAGCTAGAAGACCCACTTTGTTGCGCAGGAATTTGGTCCTCGGTTCACCTAAGAACTATAGTCTTTTTGACTAATATGTGACAAGGGGGAAGGTGCTCAAGAACTTTAACATTGATCCCGAGCAATATAAGTTAATCACTGACCCTGAAGAGAAAAAATAGTTTATTCTGCATCAAGGTTGGTAATTATAGATTTTATTAGGATATTTTTAGCTGAGACTCATTTGCAAGAGCAAGTTTAATAGTTTAATGATCATATTAAAAAGAAGCAAAAGTGGATTGAGAGTATGAAAATATAAGATTCTGAAGAGAAAAATAGGTCTGACTAATACCCATGGCTTCACATCAAGGCGCCTCACAAGGCAAATTTAGAATGGAGACTTAAAAACGAGTTAATGCAAAAGCTTCAAGTTGTAAATTAATCTCACCTTAAATAATGATATATTATAGCCATAATCAATGATATTGAAGACTACAAAGCACTCAATGAAAAGTAGTCTTTCAGAGGCAGATGTTAAGCTTTCATTAATTCGGCAAAATAAGGATTTACTGTCCAGTGGTGCTGCTCTTCAAGAAGCTATTTCATCAACATTTAAAGATTTCGTTAATACATTCGAATAAAGTATAAAAGATAATCCAAATCAGAAATCTCATGCGAAAATATGCTCGTGTAACAGATGCAGGTCGAATTCAACTATGTTCCCCATAAAAAATGCAAAGCACTCAGCTTTGATATCAGCTTAACCTATAGCAAGAAAATTGAATACCAAGTTGGAGAGTATGATAGGAACTGACACAGTTATAAGTGAAAATATTTTAGGTTCATCTGATCTTCAAGTGAAAGAAAGGCCAATGACCTCAAAAGGTCAAGATAATAGATTATTTAAAGATAGTAATCTACTAACCTTATAAGCTCCACCTAGAAACTCTCGGAATTTAGATGAGAACTAGGTTTTTGTTAAAAAATGGAGTGATTTTGATGAGATGTTCTACAGAAGCTACAGATCTGAAATGAGAGAAAGATTAGCAAATGAATCTAGAACTGGTCCCTGGGAATAGGTAATGCTTGGCTTTTTAAGGAAAATTGATAAACCTTAAACTTAATCAGCTAGTCCAGTTTGAAAATTTCATTCTGAGTATGGCTCAAATCCTGAGATAGAACTTATCAATGTAAGATTAGATTTAATTCTTTTTATAGAAAGTCAATTCTATTCCTGCTTTGAATAACTGTATTGATAGAAATTATATTTAAAAGAAGCTAAGTCTTTTAAGTTAGGATCAAATAGATTAAATAGAGACTGATTTGGCAGAAAAGATTATCACTGAATATGAAGATGAAAAGAAAGTAATTAAGGGCTAAAGGTATGAGTATCTTAAAAACAAGGGAAAGAATTTGATTGAGAAGTAAAAGCAAGCGGATCAAAAGAAACTAAAAGAGAGTAATATGCTTGAAGCCTAGAAAGAACATAAAATGATTTCAAAAAGAATGAGAATCATTTTAAATGGGTTAGATAAAAAACTAATTGATATAAAGAAAAAACCAGCTACAAAATTTGATTTCCTTTATAAGAATAAGTATCCTTATAACAATCCCTTGGGGTAATAAGTAAAAATGAAGATTCCATCAAGTAAGCATTTAAATCAAATTAATGAATACAATTTTAGATTGGGACTCCTACAAGACTTTGATGCTTTTTGATAATTTCAAAGAAAAGCCTAATGAAAAACCAGTGCCAATTGCTAAAAAGATAAAATATTCTAAAGAAAATCCCATGGAATATTTTGCTTAAAAGTTCGCAGGTGGACCTCTAAAGTTCGATAATGACGATGAAAAGAAAAAAGCTTCTATTAAAGTGATTATGAATGCTATAAAAATGTGGAAAAGCAAAAAATCAGTCAAAGTTGCTTAGAAAAAATTCTAAGAAAAGCTGCAGAATAACTTTTCAAACTCGCTTAGTGTACCAAATTTATTAAGCTAACTCTCAGAAGCTACCAAGGGACTAGTTACTTATTCTGATTTATAAAAAGCTATTTTTAACAATGATGTTTAATGGATAAAAGTATGTACACCTAATATAACAGAGGATGTGATAAACAAACTAAACTTAGAAAATAATACTTGCCTATATGAAGCAGTTAAGTTCAGAATGCATAACATAGTCAAGGCATTACTTGGAATCCCAAACATTAATATCAATTAGAGATGTGAAGCAAATAATACAGCTCTTCATATTGCATTCTAAAATAAAGACGTTGAAATGATTAAGTTGCTAGTTGAAAACAAGGCAAACGCAGAGCTTATAAACATGAATAAGAAAATACCATGCCAGATGGTTGAAAAAGTATTTTTAAAGGAGATTGGATTTAACCCTGTTACAAACAATTTTAAATGATTGATAAAAATCAAATAAATTTAAGCTTAATTTCATAATATTCTATCATTTAAGCATTATTTCATAAAGTTATTAAATCAATAGTATAAGACTTGACTAGCTCTCTGAGAAAAGTCTAGCGGCTGGAAGCTTGTATTTGCAGCCTAATCTGATGTTTTTGTTTAATCTTCCTTTTAGGTATAATCCTGCCTGTTTCTAAAAGGCTGACACAAAGTTTTACCAAATATATTTAATCTTTTAGAAATATTAACTTAAGGTATGCCTTGATTACTATAGTTTCGGAATATATATCTATGTTGCTTTGGAGGAGACATGCTAACTTACTCTTAAGTTTTCTTTTCATGAACCTTTACTGATTTTTTTATTTCTACCTTAGGCTATAACAGTGCAGTATTAGACATTTAGCTACTCTCTACTCTATCAAGGTATTTATAACTTCTCACAATAATCTGCATATTTTTCAGTCTCTATTTCTCATCTTTGTTCCATTTTAATTGTTTCATTGTTTTCACCATATTTTGCTTAGGTTCTGGACTTCTTTCTTTAATGTTTTAAGATTCTATCTTCCTTTATTTGCTGTATATGTTAAGGCTTGAAGGAATAATTCTAGTTTTATAAGTATTGGGAAAATAACTATATTACTCTTGCATCAATTCATCATTGAAGACTGACTATTTATCTTGCTCATGATCTTAAAGTCTTATCGGGCTATTTTATTTTTATGCTTCTATCAATACATTTAAAAATACGCTGGGTGGAGCTAATTCCTCAGTACCAATTTATTAATCCACTTTTTATTGAATGAAATTAGGTGTAGTTTGGAAAGCACTGAGTCCCTGGCTATTCATAAAATTGTCAACTGAATAACTCTTCAATCCTAGAGTATTATTATAGCCAGATTTATTGCTCTAAACATTAGAAACTGCATCTGATTATGGATACTTTTTTACACTTCCAGAGTTACTATTTTTCTGATAATTTACTATCCGATCTTGAACATTTTCACATATTTCCTCAACAAAATCATTTGACTATTTTTCTTCTCTAAAAATTGATCTTCTTTCTTACTTAGCCTTATAGACGTAGATTTACTTTTTTGCTAAAGAAAAATGCTTGTTATCTGCCTATAAAGTTTTGAAATCCTGAATTTCATAGCTTTTTCTAAAGCTAGGAGTTGATAATGAATTTTTAAGAAATTTCATATGGTTGCTATCAATATTATCCCTTTACTCTGAATTGCTTAGTCTTGTATTCTAAACTCTACTCATTGGCACGAATGTATTTTATGAAAAAATTGAATGGATCAGCCCATTTGAGTTCATAGAGGTTTCATTATCTCTATTTGCGCTTGAACTGCTGAAGCTCTTTATTTATATTTACTTTCTATTTCTAAAAGCTTACTCAATCTAGCGGGCACTTACTTTATTTGAATCGAGATATTCAACTTCTCTATTCATGACCTTATTGTCAAAGACTTATAAATTAGCAATCAAAGTATGCTGAGGCTAACCTTCTTTATTTGTTGAACCATCCCTCGATTAAACCATTTTTCTTGCAGTTATATTCTCTGATAACGATTATGAATTTGACTGCATGTTTACTGTCATTAGCTTGCTCACTCTATCCTTTGTGATTGGCCTGAAAATTTAGGCTATTTCTTCTTGCTGCCTCATTCTTCCATTTTAATCCTTTACTTTCATATTCATGGATAAGAGGCGTTTTTACTGAGGATCTAAAGTTGATTCAACAAAGTATTTCCTGAATACTTTTGCATCTCGCGTCACTGGTTTAGATTTTTCAACGTCCATAATAAAGAATTTAAAAGTTGTCAAGTTTTCCATAGCCAATGCGCAAAATAAAAATATAATTTCACTATTAAAAAAGTTATGTAAATATCATTAATTTCATAATCAATTTTATAAAATTCAATATTGATTATCAAGTTTTAGATTCGGGGTTTTGGGGTTTTGGGGATTTGGGG